ACTTAGTAGCTTTTATGGGAAGTGCCTGCTGCCTTTGCCACCCGAATTTCAAGTAAAGCAAAGGAGAGGCGAGTGCCTCGCGTTAGTCCTTCAGAGGTCTGCTGAGCAATTTGGAACAGAAGCAATGGTGATGTGCAAGTACGGTGTCTATGCCTGCAGCTCTGGGTGGTGGGCGGTGGAATAGGAACTGGCCGGGCAATCCAAGACCGAAGCCACCCCTGCACGGGGTGGGGGGGGGGGCGTGCAAGGCTGAGCAACTGTTTAAAATGCCACAAAGCTCTCCTACCATGTTGAAGACGGCTTTTCCTGACTGGACATTAGCTTGGTGGCTGTAAACCTTTGACTTTCTTCTGCAGTTCTGAAAAAGTGGGTTCAGACAGTTCCTCTCTCTGTTTTTTCTACATGTTTCTGGCAAAACAAGCCCTTAGCGCTTCCGGGTCCACCATGTCACTCATCGATTTATATTTCTAGAAGGATTTATTCTGAAAAACAGAATTTCACAAGGCCATACTGACGTGAATGAATACAGAAGAATAAATCGGCGGGAGTCCTTCGTACCGCAGGGTGCCGACAGAGAGGAGCGGAAGTGGCTGGAAAATTCTCGATGGGCCAGTGGCAGCAGGCCGACAAGTGGTCACTCACGGGGTCCCCAGGCATCGCCCCAAACCCTTAGCGATTTCAAGGGGGGGCACGGTCACTCTCCGGGGGAGAAACCTGGCAGATAAGTCACAGAGGTGAACACCCGGTGTCGGGTCCACCCGCCTCCGCGGGCCTTGGACGCAACGCCCCGAGAAGGCCCCTGGGAAGCTCCTGCTCCCAGTGGGGCTGGGGCTGGCTGCCCGTGCCCCTCACGAAGGTCAGGTCGAGAAGCAGAGGGCGGGCTCCAGGTCAGAGGAGGGGTGAGGCGCAGCGCACGGACACGCGGTCCTGGGCTGGGAGACAGGAACGTGGTCAGGACAACAGGGGACAGAGGCCGAGGGTGTCGTTCTTGACTCAGCTGCGTGAGCCCTGCCCTCCTAGGAGGCGTGCGCCCCCCTGGGAGCCCCACAGCTGTGCCTGGAGCCAGGAGGCCTGTGGCAGCTGGACGTGGAAGACGGTCCCCAGGTGAGCGCACCGGCCTGGGCCTCCCGACCCCGAGGCTCAGTCTCTTGTGTCCCAACACCCCCTGGGCCGTCCTGCCAACCTCCCGGGTCATGGTGGGGGCTTCCCACCCAGTCTCCAGGTTCAGGTCCCTTCCTGCCCCGCGAAACCCAACTGGGGTCCCCCCTGCTGTGGCAGGAGGTCTCAGCAGAAATCGGGGGTGGGGCCCGTGTTTCCCGCCGGCCTGGGCCTGCCTCCCGCTGTCCTCGGCCCAGGCTCCCTCAGTCCCTCAGTCCCTCTGGAGGACCGGGAGCGGTCCCTGAGAGAAGAACCCAGGTCCTGCCGGGGCCCTGCCATGAGGCCCGGGACAGCCGTCCCCGGGCGCACGTAGGAGCAGACCCAGCTCCAGGCCCGGAGCCCAAGGCCAGAACTCGGGCTCGCGCCCACCTGAGCATCCGCCGGGACTGGCCTCTCGTCCGAGGGGCAGCACAGGCAGCCGCCGCCAACGGGGCCTCAGGGAAACCGAGTCTCTCCAGCTCCGTGTCTGAGGAAGCGCGGGCAGCGCTCGCTCGTTGGCACTCGGGATGCGTCACTCGCGGTCCCGGCGGTGTCCTGAGATGGAGGGCCGGGCAGCTGGATGGACAGCGGCCCCGCTCCAGAGCTTACAGCCTCTGGCCGGCCTGGGGGCTGTGCATGGAGGCCCACCCCCACCCACAGAGTCCGCTTTCTGTGTGCGGCCCTCGGGCATTCCCTGCCCGCCTGCCCCGCACCAGCGGCCGCCCCTCCAGAGCAGGGCTGCCGTTCAGCATTCAGCTCCGCAACCACAGGCCAGGGGCGCCTCGAAGCGGGGCTGTGGTTCTGTGGGTCGGCACCTGGGATGTCGGCTCCCATCCCTGCTCCTTGTTTGCCCCACACACTTACGGAGTCGGGGGGGGGGGCGGGGGGCCGCATCCACAGCCGGGCCCCTGACAGGACGCAAACAAGGCATCTGGTGCGAGGGAACCCCTGCCGGCCATCCCCCCAAAACACAACAGGGTGAAGCTGGGGTGTTTGAGATCACACCTGGGCCCGAGTCCCTCCCCAGGGACAGGCCCTGCAGGGGGGCTGTGCCCAGCCGCTCTGCCTCCCGGACTTGGGGCCTGGCCGGGTCAAGGTGGGGGTGGCCCAGGTCGGTGCTGTGTCCCAAAGTCTCCCTGTCCCAGTTCCTGGTCACTGCTGGGGCCCTGCGGCTGGCAGGATGGGCCGGGCAGCAGGCAGGGCAGGGTGTGAGCCCGGCCTTGGTGCCAGGCGGCTCTGTCAGCCCCTGTGGGGAGGGGGTGGCCCGGGGCTACAAGGTCCGTGTCTGGGCCGCTCTGCCAGCTCTGTGGGTGCTGAGTCCACACTGGGGTTCCTGGAGGGAAGGGCGGGTCTGTTTGCCCGCCGACACTTGGTTAATCTCTGCCCTGGCCTCAGGGCACAGAGGCCTGGCTCCTGTTTGCTCTGCCCGGAGCCACCTTAATCCTGGGCAAATGAGGGCCCGGGGGCCCACCTGACCTCCTCCTCCTCGGTCCACACCCGCCCTGCCCGTGCGGGGGCCATTCTTGGCTTCCCTGGGCCGGGCCTGTCCCCACCGACCTGGCTCTGCTCCCCATGGGGGGGTCCTGGGAGGCTTCGGGGCGCTGTTTCACCAAACCTGGGCGAGGGGAAGACGGAGGGGAGCGGGCAAAGCAAAAAGCGGGAGAGGAGGCGCCTCGGGCCCCGCCCAGTAACTGCCACCTCACGCTCTTCTGCCGACCACTCAGGCTGGCTCTGCCCAGGACGCGGTCTGGGCGCCCATCCCCAGACCTCCCTGTGTCCTCCCTGCCCCCCCCCCAAGCTTCTCCCCTTGCTCAACCCCCTTCCCCACGTCCCTCCCTTTCCCTTCCCCTGCTACGCACTACCGTGCCCCCTCATCCATGTCCCGTTGGGGCCGCCGCCTTGAGACTCCTTCTCGTCCACTCAAGCCCCAGCCAGCACGGCACATGCATGTGACTCCCAGGGTGAGGACGGCGCGGAGGGCTCGCGTCCACCCCCCGCCAGATCACCGCGTCGGCCGCCCTCGCCCTCCCTGTTTGCTCAGGTGCATGCGTGCACACCTCCTTCCGCCCCCACCCCCATGGCCGCCTGCTTTTTCTGAACCTCTCGTATTTAGGGAACGTGCTCCTCCTCCCTGGTGGGCTGGGTCCCCTTGCTTAGACAGGGCCCTCCAAGGTAGGCCGTACCCACTGACAAGCTGGGGGCCCCCGGAGGCCTCACCCGCTTCTTTGAGGTGCGGGAGGGGCCGTGTTGCTCACCGAAGGACAGGGTGGCCCTGTGCCCAGCATGTGGGGCGGGGGTGTTCGTGTACACCCCTCGGGGCCTGTGGACAGGGTGTGGGCTCCGCCACCCACCCTCTGCTCAGGGCACCAAGTTCCCTGCACCCCGTGGGCCGCTCGCCGTGGACCAGGACCGGCCTGTGTTTGGCTGTGTCGGCTCTGAGCCACCGGAGGACACTCCCTGGACCCTCCTGCCAGCCCCCGAGGCCTGGGTGGGGGCCCTGGGCCCTGGGCTGCTCCCCACAGCCTACAGGTCCTTTGTCCGCCTGGCCGGGAGGTTTCGACTCTCGGCTCTGGGCGCATCCCATTCCGGCCTTGCTCTTCGGAGCTTTCCTCGACAGGACGTTGTCCCCCGGGCCGGGGACTCACGGGTTGCGTGACAGCGACACTTTATGTCTTGCTTTTACTCCGTTCTGTAAAGGAATAGAAACCTGGAGGGACCCTCTGGGAGGTGCTCGGAGGGGGGGACCGAGAGGGGACAGGCCGGCCTCTGGGACAGTGCGGTGCCGCAGCTCAGTCTGAGGGCGGGGCCTCCCCGCCTGCACGGCCGAGAGCCTCGCCCTCCCCGTGGTGTCCAGTTCTGCCCCAGCTCCAGAGTCAGCCGGCGTCCAAGCTGGACAAGGACCACACTCTGCTGACTCTCCTGAGGTGGGCTCCCCTGTCGAGAGCTGGGAGCCCCCTGTGGCCCTGACCCTGGCGTCTGACCCCACCCGCCTGCCTCGGTCTGCACCTTCCTCTGCAGGACAGTGGCCCTGGGGCCCTGTGCAGAGCCCCTCCCTCAGCGCCCATCTCCTTCTCTGTGGCGTGGTCCCGTCCCTCCACCCACCCCCACGGCAGGGCCATGGCACCTGCCGCCTTCACTTCCGACCCCTCCTGACAGTCCCCCTCCCCAGCTGGTCTCATTCTTCTTCCGTCACCCAGGGGCTGTCAGACAAGGCTGGGATCCCCTCACTCAGAGCCAAGGCCCGTGCCCCGTGCGCCTGGCCCTTTCCACCCCCTCCGGAGGCACTGAAGGTCCCGATCCCCCACCAGCCTGGGTGGGGCCCTGGTGGCGGCCCTCCTTCAGACACTGAGGGCAGACTCCCACCCCCACCCGACTCCTAGTTCCCCTTTCCTGCTGACTCCCCAGGCAGTGGCCTGTCCCCTCGGCTCACGCCGTGAGCACTCAGCACCCGGAGCCCCGGCGGGCAGCGGGCACAGGCCTGACCTTGGCTCCTGGCTCCTGGGGTCCGCCCGGCACCGTGCTGCACCCCCAGCCCCGGTCCCACAGTCACTGTCCCCTCCCGCTGGCAGGGCAACGCCCTCCCTGTCCTTCCTTGTCACAGTTGACTGGGTATTTGAGGACGCTGACGTTCGTGCGGGCCCCGCAGCGCGTCTGCCAACTTCCTCGGGAGACCGCGCCCGGCCGCTCCGTGGGGACCGCGTTCACCCACAGCTGCGCCTCGCCCTCCGGGGTTCAGGTCCTGCTCTGCGCACTCCCCCTGCCCCTGCCCAGCGTGTGGCCGTAGCGCCGGGGCCTTGGGCTGCTCGGATGTGGCCTCAGAGCAGGCTGCGTTCCGAGGTCGCCGTCGCGCTAGGGCTGCGGACCCCTGTTGATTTCGGGGCTGCGCTCATTCCTCTGCTGGCCCCGGCCCCCGGCCCCCACCCCGGGCTTCATCTGCAGGCCGCTTCCTCTCACGATGTCCCTCGTCTTCCCGCCCACGAGGAAGGCCATCGGGCACTGAGGGGCACGGCCAGCACCTGCCAGCTGCCCTCCTGCCCCTTCCCCAAGTCCAGGAGTCCTCACGTGTCCCCCAAATCGTTCTTCTTGGGTCTCTCTCCCAGAGCTTGGCCAGCTGCCCTGGGTCACAGGGCCCAGGGCCCCGCTCTGTCGGAGAAGTCACCCCCACCCGGGGCCCCGGTCTGCGGCCTGTGTGAGTGCGGGGCCCAGCTCTGGCCTCGGGCCCAGCGACCTCGTTCAGTGCATTGGTGCCAGGGTGGGGGCTGCAGTTCCGAGTGTCTTGGGTATGGGGCCAATGGTAGGGGCAAAGGTCAGGAGGTGGCTGCAACCCATCCTGCCCACCATGGTCATGGGCTTCTCTGGAAGCTGCCGTATGTCGTCCCAAATTGGGCTCCCCAAGCTTGAGGGAGGGACACCCCTTCACCATCGGAGACAGACAGCACCCAGAACCCCACAAGCTTCTCGCCAGGCCTCCAAAGGACGCCCCCGGTCACCTTCCAGGGGGGCCGTGACAAGTGGGCTCCTGGGATGCCCAGGCCAGCCCTGGGGCTCTGGGGCCTCTTCTGGCCCTGTGCCCACACCCCAGGGCTGACAGGCCGCCCCCCACCCCTCCTGGTGTCCGGGACGCAGTGAGGGCCCAGTTCTGGGCCTGGAGGAGCCGCCCCTGCGGGCAGAGCCGCGTGGGGGCCTCTGTGGGCCCCGCCCGCTTCTCAGCCCTTTCCGGAAAGGAAAGGCGACTTGCACAACCAGGCCAGGGGCCGCGCGGCCGTGGTGGGCGGGCGTGCTATCTGGTTACTTCCTGCCGCCTTGGTTCCATGCAGGGGGGCCGTGTGCTCAGTGGGAGGTGGGGATTAGGTGCCCATGGGTGGCGGTCACACCGCCCAGGAGGAAGGGGCGGCGCCCTCAGACACCCGATCCCCTCCGGGGGACAGTGACGTTGATGGGGTGCCTTCCAGGCTGTGGGGTCACAGACACTGGGGCAGCAGCCCCAGAGCTGAGGTCTGCGAATGCCCTGCTCCTGGCCAGGTGTCCTGCTGTCCCGCGGCCCCATGGGCCCCCAAGTTCCGGCCATTTCGGGGGCCCGAGGGGCTGCCGGTCCCAGGTTGTTCCTGCGAGGCCAGGGTCAGGCCCCACCTGGTCACTGACCAGAGGGGTCAGGCTTGAGGTCAGCTCTGCTGCGTGCAGTCTGTCAGAGGGATGGCTTGGAAGCTGGGCCAGGACATGGCCCTTCCTGCCCAGGCATGGACTCAGGGATGGGGTGGACAGGGGTGGAGGCCACCAGTAACCCCGGCCTCACCCTGGGGCCTCTCAGCCCTGAGGTCAGGGGGTGGGCTGGCCTGGATGGACGCACAGCACCCCCAGGACCCCTGACACAGCACCCGGAGCCACCGGCCAAGCCAGAGGTGCGCGGGCCATGGTGCTGCCCCTGAGGCAGCCGAATCCTGGGGGTGGAAGGTTGGCCCTGTGGCCACAGTTGCGCCTCTCAGGCTGGGGCCGGCCTCGCCACAGAGGCAGTGTGGCTCTGGGGTCAGAGCCCTGGGCATCGAAGTCCAGGGCCTGAGACTGGGAAGCCCCATCAGACACAGGGACACAGGGCCAGTGCCCTGCCCTGGGCCGCTGGCCTCCCTTCAACTGCCGTGCCCGGTCCTCAGTTTCCCTTTGTGAGACCGGGGAGGACGTGCACTTGGACATCGCCCTCCACCCAGAGTCCACTCCTGATTCCTTGGCCCCTGCCCGGTGTCCACAGGACCCTGAGCCCCAGGATGTGCCCTGTGGCCAGCACTGCCCAGCCTGCCGGCCCCCAGTCCCATCCATGTCCAGCCCGGGCGGCGCCCCAGCAGCGCAGGGCTCAGCGGTCTGGGGCCGCCCTCCCCACACTCGGGAAGCCCCCACCGTGACCCATGCACAGGACCAGCCCGGGTCTGGGGCTGACCTCGGGTTTCCCTGTGCCCCCACCTTCCGCTCCCTCTGTCTAGGTGATGGGCACCCTCCCCAGTGAGCCTTTGTCATCGAGTGGCTGGGGGTGTCTGAGGCTCCCCTGGGGCCTCCATGGGAGGAGGGTGGGCTTTAGGATATGGACCTTCTCAGGGCAGCGCCAGGCTTGCGGGCTGAATTGGGAGCGTGATGGGGCTTCTGGGGCCACAGCCACCCCTCTGCAGGGGGCGGCTCAAAGTGCCTGCGTGGGTGCACAGGTGCACGCGCACGCACACGCACACAGCCGGGTTTCCAGGTGGTGGGAGAGCCCGGAAGGCTGGACTCCCTCCCCGACTCCCTCCCTCCCTCCTGGGAATGAATGGCTGCCCCTCCCCGTTCCTGGGTTTTATGGACAAGCTTAAAAAGCACACAGAGACCAGGGCTTGCAAAATGCTACACATGTATTTCTGGAACAGCTGGCCTCTCCAGAGGCCCAGGAGGAGGAGAGGTGGGGCTCTGCCTCCTTGCAGCTGGCCAGCAGCCAATTGCCTGTCCAGGTGACCAGCATGGACGGGACCCCACGCAATGCTGATGGCTGGGAGGGGTGACTGGACCCACGGCCAAAGGAGTCCCTGCCCACCCGCCTGGGCACCGGACAGGGAAGGGGGCTGGACGGTGCATCCGGGGCTCAGCTCCCAGCTAGCTGCTCAGGCTGCTGCCTTGGAAGCTGGACTGCGGGGAACGAAGGGGGATCTTCAGAAGGGGAGGCGCATCAGGCTGCGGGGGTGGCGGGGGCTCCGCGGCTCCAACCCCCGCGCGCGGCATTCTGGCTCCTCAGGGGCCCCTCCTCGAGACCCTGGTCGAGGCCGCTGCGGGTGTCACACTGCAGGCCGGCGCAGCCGCACTCCTCCACCTGGGTGTAGCTGAAGGCCCGGCGGGAGCCGTCTGCGCAGCTCAGGGTCACATTCCTGGGCGTGGCCCGCAGCTCCCGGCAGCAGCGGCAGTTGTGCTGGAGCTCCCCGGCCGCCAGGGAAAACCTGCAGGCGGGGCCACTCAGCACCGGGGTGCTCCCGGGTCACCCCCCGCGGAGACCACCGGCGAGGCCGGTCATTCCGAACAGGCACAGGGCCCGTTTCACTGCCAGCCCAGCCTCTCAGCCCAGGGAGACCCCCGCTGCCCCCTTCCCGCCTAGGGCACTCGGGGGCTGCTGCCCCTCCCCTTCTGCCGCGCAGGAGCCCACGGGCGGGCAGCGGGGCGGGGGGGGGGGGGGGGGCTCACGTACACAGAGGCGGTGTCCCCACAGTTGCCCTTGCAGTAGGCCAGGGGCACGGGCCCCGCGGAGCTGCAGCCCTGCACGCGGATGACCTCGAGCTTGTGGTAGATGTCACAGGTCGACCCTGGGGAGGGGCACAGGAGGCGGTGGGGGCGTGGTCAGGATTGGCCGGTGCTCTCCAAGACCCCCACCCCGCCCCCTGACACGCCCACTCACTGTTCTGGGTTTCGGGTGCAGGACAGAAGAGGCAGCAGCCATCCTCACTCAGCCCAGCCTGGTCCTGGGTCAACAAGGGGAGCCGTTAGTGCTGAGGCAGCCCACCCAGAAGAGCACGCAGGGCCAGGCTCCGCCCGGGGCAAGACAGTGGCGCCACTGCCAGCCCCGCGTGTTGCAGGCCCCGTCGGCAGTGGGCCAGGCTGGGCGGGGCTCTGGGGACTCACCCGCGGGCAGGTGAGTGAGGGGCATGTCTTCTTCACGGTCACCACCACGAGCCCGTCCTGGTGCTTCTCACACTGGTGTGTCACACAGCGGTCCCCAGGGTCCGACCAGGACTCACCAGGCTGCAGGGAGCCGGGCCAGCAGGTGAGTCCTTCCCCAAGAGCCGGGGTGCGAGCCGCCTCTGCCTGTCTGCCCCCACTCTGCGGCTTCCCGAGGGGCCCCCCTCCCCCAACTTGCAGCCTCTGCCAGGAGCACACGCTGCAGTGACGTCGCTCCCGGGCCCTGACCCCACCCACCCACAGGGATCCCGCCGCTCAGCCCCGTCGCTGTCCTCACGAGGCCCTCCCGCAGGCTGAGGTGGGCCTGGCCTGAGCCTGGCATCCCTGGGTCCCCAGCCAGTCAGTGGGCAGCAGTGTCCTGCCCAGCCTGGGACTCCCCGAAGGCCCTGAGGCCCCCACCGGCCCTGCTGACAACACTCACTTGGAAGAGGTGGGCGGAGCCGTCGCTGGCGTTCATGACACAGGCCACCTGCACGCAGGACCCGCAACAGCGCCCACTTTGCGCCTGGTACTCGAAGCCCTAGGGGAGGGGTGGACGTGCGCCTGAGCTCTGTGTGCGCCGCGTGGGGGGCTCGGGCGTGGGGGCAGCAGCCGGCGCTCACCGCGGGGCAGTGCGTGCTGCAGGTCTCCGTCTCACAGCTGATCCTGAAGGCGACCGCATGGGGGCGGCCGGGCACCTCACAGCGGCACTTCTGGCAGAGGCTGGAGGAGACCACGGCACCGGGCTGGGGGTCCGGGCGGCCAGCGTCAGCGAGTGGGCGTTGTGCCGGCAGGGCCGCCCCTCCTTCCCCGGGGACCTTCTCACCCCAGACCCCGTGACCTTCAGCGGCCCTGTCTCAGGGGCACAGCCTCTGTGGGGGTCATGTCCCCGGGGTCCCGGCTGGGAGACACTGAGGCTGGGGGCCTCGTCATGTTCAGACCAGAGCGGGGCCCTGACCCTCAGCCCCTCCTCACCTGGTACAAGGTGCCGTTCACACTGCAGACGGTCCAGCCTGTGCGGGAGGAGGGGAGACCTGCAGACCCACCCTCTGCCCTGCCGTCCCCCAGCCGCGCTGCCCGGCTTCCTGTGCACAGACAGTGCCCAGCTCCCAGTGGCCCCTCCTAGCCGTACCTCGAGCGAGGCCGGGTCCCCAGGGCCGCCCGGCGGGACACTCACCGCATTTCTGGCTGGGGCAGCAGGCGCCCTCCTCATAGTTCACAGTCTGGAGGGAGCCTTCAGGACAGCCGGAGAGCGCTGGGCAGTAGCTGGCATTGCACGCTGTCGGGGGGGGAGGCGAGGGGGAGGGAGCATACAGAGAGATCCTCAGACCCACTGGAGTCGCCCATGAGGCCACCGCAGGGGCGGGGGCTGCCCTGTCCCCCTTGGTTATGTCCCGGCTGCCAGCCCTGAGGTGACGTGTATGTAGACCTTGGCAGATGTGAGCGCAGTGGCCCATCCCCCACCCCCCAGCCCGGGGCTCACCGCAGGTGTACTGGGGACAGCACTGGCCGGCCTGGGGGGCCACAGGCACAGGCACAAACCCAGGCTCCGGGCAGGCAGGGGGCAGGGGGCAGGGCTGGCGCCGGCAGCTCATGGTCCACGTGGTGCCCTCGCAGGTACACTCCTGGCAGTCGAAGGTGACTGTGTGGCCCGGCTGCAAGGGAGGCACATGGAGCCCGGCCCTGTGTCACTTGCCTGTCCCAGAGGCAGCTCCAGAGTCTGGGATGCAGGGGAACCTGAGGGAAGGGGCTTTAAAAGGGTGGGAGGTCGCCCTGGCCAGTGTGGCTCAGCGGATTGGGTGCCGGCCTGCAAACCAAAGGGACACTGGTACGATTCCCAGTCAGGGCACATGCCTGGGTTGCAGGCTTGGTCTCCAGTAGGGGGCGCGCTAGAGGCAACCACACATTCATGTTTCCCTCCCTCTCTTCCTCCCTCCCTCCCTCTCCCTGTAAAAATAAATAAATAAAAATGTAAAAAACAGTTGGGAGGCCTGTGGCCCCCAGGGGCCAGCAGAAGGGTGGGCAGGTGGCTCTGTGGATGACCAGCTCCGACTTCGCTGTCCCAGCAGAGCAGGAGGGGTCCCTGTACAGGGCCAGGCCTCCTGGGTGCCCACACACAGAAGTGTCACCGGTTCTGCTGGGATAGCCGTGCCCCTATCCCCGAGGCCGAGAGGCAGCCCTGCCGTCCAGAGTGCCACACTCACCTCCACAGGCTCCCCGTGGGGCCCCAGGCACCCTAAGGGACAGAAGCCAAGGTCACTGCGGGCAGCCATGGCCCACCCGGCCTTCAGGCCAGGACCATGGGCCCAGCAGCCACAAAAAGCTCAGGTGGAAGGCCCCGCCCAGCCCGAGGGGACATACTGGGGCAGCCTGCTGGTACACAGACTTCCGTGCTCGCGCTGAAAAGCATCATGTCCTCTGGACAGAAGCAGCCTTCTGTGATGGGGCTGATGTCCTTGAGGGCCCTGCAGGGAAGCAGAGGGTCAGCCTGGCCCCTGCGCCCTCCTGGGCAGGGAGGGGCCCCCCCGTGGCTCTGGGGGCAACAGGCAGGAGGGGCAGACACGCACACAACACTGGTGCTGTTGCCCCCGTAGCAGTAGGAGGGGTTGGAGGGGCTGCAGGGCCGGTACTCCTTGTCAGCGGGGCAGGTGAAGGCTGCAGGAGAAAGAAACCGCCCCTGAGGGGAGGGGTCCAGCCTGGGGCGATGCCCCCTGGTCCCTGCAGCCAGAAAGCCCCTCCTGTCTGTCCCAAAGCCAGTGTGCTCGGCCCTGGGGTCCGCCCCCTTCTTCCCACCAGGAAGGCTGCCCCGGCTGCTGCCAGGAGGCGGCCACTCACGGCAGGTGTGGTTGGTCCGGCCCCTCCAGTCGATGCACAGGCCCTGGGCCGCGCACAGCGAGGCGTACAGCTCCAGGCCAGAGCACGCTGCGTCCGGCTCAGGCATGTGGCACCAGTCGAACACGCAGCCTTCGTAGTACGGCCTCGGGGGGATCGTGGTGTGGCAGGGCTTGAAGGTGCTGCGGCACAGGCACACACGGTATCGTGGGTGTCCCAGGAGTCCCCCGGGGGGTCCCCAGGGAGGGATGCAGTCGCTGAGCCCACTCGAGAGCCCTGCCCCTCTGGCAGAGGCAGGGCCCTGTCTCCCTGCACCCTCCCAGCCTGGGTGAGGACCACTCTGCCAGAACCCCTGCCTGGGTTCTGGCAGAGCAGTCTCCCTGCTTCCCCGGGGCCCAGCGCCCCTGGAACCTCACTCGCTCAGAATCAGCTGGCAGATGGGCGGGGGCGGGCAGGAGGTGGGCAGGGTCATGGGCCCGCCCTTGGGGGGCGTTGCGGGCGGCCCGTGGCAGGTCGGCTGGTCGGGGTTGGTCACCTTCCAGTACCGGGACATGTCAGAGCAGGAGGCCACCACCGCCCCCCCGGGGAGACGGCACTCATCCTTCCGGTCGTTGGTGCAGGTGCCTGGGGTGGGTATGAGAGTTGGGCAGCTGGGACAGCGGTGTCCCCAGGCTGCACTCCATGGGTCCCCTGACCTCCCTGTGCTTCCTTCCCCCAGGAAGCTGGACCCTGGGGCCATTCCCGTGGAGGGTTGACAGGTGTGGGCCTTGGGCGTCCCTGCAGGCTGGGGGCTCCAGCCCCCCACCCAGGGACTGGCCAAGGCAGTCCTCCTCCCAATGGACACTCGAAGTGACAGTTAGCCACCAGGGACAGGGCGGGCGTTTGAGACCGAACAGGGGCCTTGGGGTGGGGCTCACCACACTGCCCCTCAGTGTTGTTAGCGAACTTGCTGAAGGGCACGTCCACGGAGAAGATCAGGCCGCTGAACATGACCTGGACGCCGACCTCCGGGATGCTCACGTACATCTTGATGCCGATCTGGGAGACCACGATGCCGTCCTTTGCGAAGCCCGGCCGGACCACGTGGTTGTTGAAGAGGATCTAGATGCAGCCGCAGGCCGGGAGCAAACAGGTGGGCGGCCGTCAGCCGCCGCCCGCGTCCCCTGCCCCCCTGTGCAGCCCAGGCGGGGGCGCCCCACCTCGTTGGTCATCACCCCGCGGACGGGCTTGCGGGTCAGCACAACGCGGTCCTGCCGGTACTCGACGATGATGGACTGCGGGCAGGACAGCCCGTCCTCCGAGTGGCAGAAGTAGTTGTCTATGAGCACGCGGAAGTGGCCGTACACGGGCACGATCTGCTGCACCAGCACGTAGGTGCAGTTGTCCAGGAAGGTGTAGTAGGTGCCGTCAAAGGTGATGTAGTGCGGGTCGCCCCAGCCGCTGCACACACCTGGGGGCACCGCAGCGGCTCAGACCGGCCGCTCCTCATCCGCCTCAGCACCAGGCGGAGGGTGCCCGCTGTTGGGAGGTCCTTCCGGCTGTCCCAGCCGAGTCCCCGCCCCTAGCCCCGCCCCTGCCGAGTCCCCGCCCCGCCCGGGCCCCGCCCCATTCTCTGCTCACACTGGCACTGGTAGTGCTGGCAGCAGCCGTCCTCATCCGCCGCCTTCAGGGCAGGGTAGCCGTTGGCGCAGGTGGGCTTCTGCACCTGCGGGCACGGGCGCCGCTGCAGGGTGATGACGTTGTTGCCCTCGCAGGTGGCCTGCGAGCAGTTGGGCATGGCCCAGGTCTCCTCTCTCTGTGGAAGCAAAGACAGCTGGGGGCTCCGCCCACCGGCATCCCGGGCACGCCCCTCAGGGCCCCTCAGGGCCCCTCAGGGCCCCTGGCCTCTGACGCTCTGACGTCACACACCCACTCTGGCTATCTTGCGTGTCCAGAGCATCGACCACGCACACTGGTCCCCTGTCACTCACAACCAGGAGAGTCTCAGCTCCGGCCCCACTCTCCTGGCTACCGGGCCACAACCCAGGGTTCCGCCTGCAAAGCCCAGTAGTCGCTCACTGAAGCCACGACTGATTGGAAGGAGGCTGGAGTCCCCAACTAGTCCTGGAGCCCCACGAAAGGCAGGAAGGGGATGTTACCATTCTTGGGGGGACTGCGCTGGGGCATCCCTGTGTAGTGACAGGCACGGGGGCCGAAGGGGAGGACCCAGGCATCGAGGGCGTGGGCGTGGGCAGGACCGTGCTGGTGGGACAGGCGTGGTCAGTCTGCCTCACCACGTGGCAGTCCAGGCTGCACACCGCGTAGTAGCAATGGCCAGCGAGGTCAGCCTCCTGGTATATGATGGACCCTGCACAGCAATGGGACAGGTGTCGGCAGCGCAGGGGCCTCCCCGCCAGATGTCCACAGAACGACCCTGTTGTCCATGGCGCAGCCGCCATCAGAGACACACCCTACCCTTTGACCTCTGCCCCAGGAGAAGGGGGCGCTCCAGACTAACCCAGAGACCACCACACACATGCCACCCACCTGCAGGGTAGAGTTGGTGCGACACGCTGCAGTAGCACTTTGTGGTGGGCGGGGCTGACGGGCTGAGGGTGGTCACAGCAGGAACCCAGGAGGTGGGCTCTGAGGTGAGGGGGGACGTCATGGATGAAGGAATACCGGGGGTGGCAGGACTCAGCAGGCAGCCTTCTCGGGGCTCGCAGCACAGGACGCGCACCTCGTAGTTGAGGCACACCTTGAAGGGGCCCCTCTGGTCCCGGTTGCGGCACACCAGGCCCACGTCGGGGTTGCACTGCACCACCTGGCCCACCCTGTCGATGCTGAGCTCGGGGTGGTTCTCGGCGCGGCACTGCAGGTGAGTGATGTACTCTGGCCGGCGGCAAATCTTCTCTCCACTCCTGACGATGTTGCTGTAGGTTTCCAGGTCTCCTCCGTGGGGCCCTGGGGACGGGAAGTCCACATCGAACCACTTGGTCCAGGTGCACTGTGGCTGGCAGGAGGTGGTCCCAGGTGTGGAGTGGGTGGTAGCAGGTGTAGGAACAGGGGTCGTGCTGGTTCCTGGAACAGGGGTCGTGCTGGTTCCTGGCACAGGGGTCGCGCTGGTTCCTGGCACAGGTGTCGCGCTGGTTCCTGGCACAGGGGTCGCGCTGGTTCCTGGCACAGGTGTCTCGCTGGTTCCTGGCACAGGGGTCGTGCTGGTTCCCGGCACAGGAGTCTCGCTGGTTCCCGGCACAGGGGTCGCGCTGGTTCCCGGCACAGGGGTCGAGCTGGTTCCTGGCACAGGGGTCGAGCTGGTTCCTGGCACAGGGGTCGTGCTGGTTCCTGGCACAGGTGTCACGCTGGTTCCCGGCACAGGGGTCGTGCTGGTTCCTGGCACAGGTGTCACGCTGGTTCCCGGCACAGGGGTCGAGCTGGTTCCCGGCACAGGTGTCACGCTGGTTCCCGGCACAGGGGTCGAGCTGGTTCCCGGCACAGGTGTCGTGCTGGTTCCTGGCACAGGGGTCGTGCTGGTTCCCGGCACAGGTGTCACGCTGGTTCCCGGCACAGGGGTCGAGCTGGTTCCCGGCACAGGGGTCGTGCTGGTTCCCGGCACAGGGGTCGTGCTGGTTCCCGGCACAGGGGTCGTGCTGGTTCCCGGCACAGGGGTTGTGCTGGTTCCCGGCACAGGTGTCACGCTGGTTCCCGGCACAGGTGTCGCGCTGGTTCCCGGCACAGGTGTCGCGCTGGTTCCTGGCACAGGGGTCGCGCTGGTTCCCGGCACAGGGGTCCTGCTGGTTCCCGGCACAGGGGTCCTGCTGGTTCCCGGCACAGGGGTCGTGCTGGTTCCCGGCACAGGTGTCACGCTGGTTCCCGGCACAGGTGTCACGCTGGTTCCCGGCACAGGTGTCGCGCTGGTTCCTGGCACAGGGGTCGCGCTGGTTCCCGGCACAGGGGTCCTGCTGGTTCCCGGCACAGGGGTCCTGCTGGTTCCCGGCACAGGGGTCGTGCTGGTTCCCGGCACAGGTGTCACGCTGGTTCCCGGCACAGGGGTCGAGCTGGTTCCCGGCACAGGTGTCGTGCTGGTTCCTGGCACAGGGGTCGTGCTGGTTCCTGGCACAGGTGTCACGCTGGTTCCCGGCACAGGGGTCGAGCTGGTTCCCGGCACAGGTGTCGTGCTGGTTCCCGGCACAGGTGTCTCGCTGGTTCCTGGCACAGGGGTCGTGCTGGTTCCCGGCACAGGTGTCGTGCTGGTTCCCGGCACAGGGGTCGAGCTGGTTCCCGGCACAGGGGTCGTGCTGGTTCCTGGCACAGGTGTCTCGCTGGTTCCTGGCACAGGGGTCGCGCTGGTTCCTGGCACAGGGGTCGCGCTGGTTCCCGGCACAGGTGTCTCGCTGGTTCCCGGCACAGGGGTCGTGCTGGTTCCCGGCACAGGGGTCGTGCTGGTTCCCGGCACAGGTGTCGTGCTGGTTCCTGGCACAGGTGTCGCGCTGGTTCCTGGCACAGGGGTCGCGCTGGTTCCTGGCACAGGGGTGGTGCTGGTTCCTGGCACAGGGGTCGCGCTGGTTCCTGGCACAGGGGTCGTGCTGGTTCCTGGCACAGGGGTCGCGCTGGTTCCTGGCACAGGGGTCGTGCTGGTTCCTGGCACAGGGGTCGCGCTGGTTCCTGGCACAGGTGTCGTGCTGGTTCCTGGCACAGGTGTCGTGCTGGTTCCTGGCACAGGGGTCGTGCTGGTTCCTGGCACAGGGGTCGTGCTGGTTCCTGGCACAGGTGTCTCGCTGGTTCCTGGCACAGGGGTCGTGCTGGTTCCTGGCACAGGTGTCTCGCTGGTTCGTGGCACAGGGGTCGTGCTGGTTCCTGGCACAGGGGCTGAGCTGGTTCCTGGCAGAGATGTTTTCCTTGTTGTGACCACATAGGAGGTGGTCTCAGCTGTACTGGTGACCCTCACACTTTGGGTGCTAGCAACTGTGACGGGCTGGTAGGTGGGGCAGCCTTCTCGGGGCTCGCAGCACAGGACGCGCACCTCGTAGTTGAGGCACACCTTGAAGGGGCCCCTCTGGTCCCGGTTGCGGCACACCAGGCCCACGTCGGGGTTGCACTGCACCACCTGGCCCACCCTGTCGATGCTGAGCTCGGGGTGGTTCTCGGCGCGGCACTGCAGGTGAGTGATGTACTCTGGCCGGCGGCAAATCTTCTCTCCACTCCTGACGATGTTGCTGTAGGTTTCCAGGTCTCCTCCGTGGGGCCCTGGGGACGGGAAGTCCACGTCGAACCACTTGGTCCAGGTGCACTGTGGCTGGCAGGAGGTGGTCCCGGCGTATGTAAGGTGTGTGCCGGCTGTGACGGTGGCTCCCCGGGTCACATGTACTGAGCTGTCACTCCTGTGCTGTGTGGAGGCCACTTGGGTTCCCACGGTCAGAGCAGTCTTTGGCCGGGTCATGGCTTCCTGTGTAGAGGACCGTGTGGCCTCTGGTGTCCCCGTGGGGGTCCTGTCCGTGCACACGTCCACCCACGCGCAGCACTGGATCCGCACCTCGTAGTTGTAGCAGATCGGGGGCAGCTGGTCCCGGTTGCGGCACACCAGGCCCACGCTGTTGTTGCAGATCACGTTCTGGCCCAGCTCCGCCAGCGGTGTGTTGGGGAAGCTCACCGCCCTGCACGCCACCTGGCTGGGCCTCTCGCAGAACTTATAGCCCTTGGACCTCAGATTCTGAAAGGTGTCGAAGTCTCCGCTGTCAATACTCGCCGCGGGGTAGCTGCTGTCGATCCAGGCCGTCCAGCTGCAGAACTCCTGTGCGCAGGGGGTCTGGCTGGGGCCCGTGGAGGGCCCGGGCGCGGTGCTGGCCCCGGAGGTCGCCGTCCCAGCGGTCGTTGAAACCGGCACTGTGCCGGGGGCGCCGGGGCTTGTTCCCCCAGGCGTGGGGGTGCCGGGGGCAGGGCTTCTGCGAGTGCTCGCCGAGGCGCTCGGGCCGGCTGTGTGGACCGGGGCCGTGCCCCCTGTCTGCAGGGACGTGGCCCCCGGGGTGGTGCTGCGGGTTGTCCGTGGGGCGGTCGGGGCTGCACCGCTCGAGGTGGGGCAGGCTCGGGGCGTGCAGCACAGGACCCTGATCTGGTAGTTGTCACAGAGCCCGGAAGCCTGGTCCCTGTTGTAACAGGCCAGCCCCACCGTCGGCGAGCACTCCACACGCCCCAGGTCCTGGGGCGGCAACTCCGGGGCATCCTCTGCTCGGCATTCCACCGCCCTCGGCGCTCGGCAGACGGGGTGCCCGTGGGCCCGGAGGTTGTCCAGTGTGTCGAAGTCACCGCTGTCGATGCCCCGTCCTGGCCGGCTGATGTCCAGCCAGGGCGACCACCGGCAGTCCTCCCCGCAGCCCGGGTGAGGGCCGATGGAGGCTGTGGAAGGCTGTGGTCTGGACGGCGTGCCCGCAGCGGTGGGCGGGGCCCTGCTCACGGTGCCGGTGGGCGCAGGGCTCGTGGCGGCGCTGGGAAGCGTGCTGGACCGCCCCGTGGAGCTGGCGGCTGAGTGCAGAGGAGGGGGCAGAGGGGCCGGGTGTCAGGGGCCGGCCTTCACTTGGGGCCTTTGAGCCCTGCACCTTGACCCTGTCCTTGCCCCCCATTTGTCAGCCACTCGGGGGTCTGTCTTTCTGACGGGCGCCCCGTCCCTGGTGTGTGCCCCACACGTGGCCGCCGTGGCACAGCCTTGAATAAATAGGCGAGTGGGTCCCACTGAAGGGAATCCTGCCCCTCACGCACATCCGGAGTGGAATCTGGTGTGTGGCCCTGAGAGCCAGAGTTCTGGGGACTCTTTTCTCTGGGGGGGACCTCAGAGAAGTTCCTGGGACACACCCGGAGTCAGGCGAGGCCCGCAGTGATGACAGCAGAACCCCAGGTGCCCCCCTCCCAGCCAACCCGGGGCACCTCTGCTGGCCACTGCTGCCTGGGGGACCCCAGACCCCCGGGGGAGACCCGGGGGGCCGCCTCTTTGCAACTGCGGGGTGACCGCCCTCCACTCAGTCCTGGGCGCCCCCCATCGGTTCTCAGGGCCAGAGGCGGCCCTGGGCGGCCCCCAGCGCATCTGCCTACCGATCGGCGGTGTGGAGAAGGAGAAGGTGGTGCTGGGGGCGGGGGTGCTGGGGCCACAGGCGCGGACCCTCCTCTCGATGGAGCCACTGGCCCCGCAGCGGGCGGAGATGCACCCCCCTGTGCCGTCTGTCGTGTGGTAGATGATGTCCCCCGGGCGGAAGCGCCGCCCGCCGTAGGTGCAGACACAGGCTGTGGGGGGAGGGCGGCCTGTCAGGGGCCAGGGCGCGGAGGGCACCCCCAGACCCCGGACTCGAGGAGGGCCCCCAGCTCTCACCGTCTGCATCGTATGTGCACTGCACGCCGCTCTCGGTGCAGGTGCTGCGGCAGGAGGAGAGAGGTGAGTCTGGTCTGCAGGGCGTCCCGGCCGGGGCGGAGGCCGGGGCAGGCAGGAGCCGCCCCACGGGGGTGCCCTGGGGCACCTGCGGTCACACCTTCCCATTCCGTGACCAGCGAGCCCCACGCTGATGACAGCTTCCCCTCTGGGACAGCTGTCTGCAGTCTCGGAGGCTCAGGCTCAGCCCCCGCCCCACCCGCCCCTTCCAGGCCCCCACCCTGCCCGGCAACCGGGAGGCCCTTCAGGAAACCCAGGCCACAGGGATCCCCGGGAGGTGGCAGTGGGTGGTGGCCCAGGAGACTGCCCCCGAGCCCCCGGCTCCCCGCCGCGGAGTCGCTCACCAGGAGTAGCAGTTCTTGTCCGAGGGCACCGCTGCACCCAGCCTGTACGACTTGCCCTGCACTTGGCAGGGCGGTGGCGGGGGTGGGGACGGGCATGCGGCCACACACTGCATGTCGTCCTCATCGAAGATGGGGGCCTCCTCGGGGCACCTGGGGTAGCAGCCTGCCAGCCAGAGCGGCCTGAGTCCCAGCCGGACGGGCTGCCAGCCACCTCGCCCCCACAGCCCCCCGCCACCCCCAGCCCTGGGCCCCCTGCCACGCCACGGGGAGTGCCGGGAAGCAGCCCCACAGGCGCCTCGAGAGGTCAGGAGGAGCTCAGCCCGCCACAGGTCCCAGGCCCCGGCGCAGCCCACCTTCCAGGCCTTGGGTGTCGTGCGGGCACTGGCCGCGGGGGTTCCGGCAGGTCCGCAGGCAGGGGGCCCCGCAGGGCTGGTAGTGCCACTCGCACTGGCCCTCGGGGTTGTAGTAGTCGCAGAACAGGGCTGTGGAACAGGGACACACTCAGCGGGCCCAGGAAAGCGCCCCGGAGGGGCGGCCCAGGCCCCAACCCTGCAGGCTTCCGTGTGCCCCGATCCTTTGCCGAGTCTGTGGGCTGCCCCTGCCATGACTCCGCACGAGGCCTCGGTGGGCGCGGGGCCAGAATTCTGGGGCTCGGGTGGGCAGCGGGGCAGTTGGCCGGCTCAGGCTCCGGCCGCAGCGGCCCCCCAGCTACACCGCCCTCTAGCGAGACTCTCTGTGCCGGACGGGGATGGGGGCGGGTGCTCTGCGGACCCTTCAGTTCCAGAACGTTCCACCACACCTGCCACGCGTCTGTCAGCAACACACCCCTTCGTTCTCCTTTCAAAGCTGCCCCCCACCCCACCCCCCGCGGGGGAGCAAGGGCACTCACGGCAGACGTCGGGGGTGCGCCAGGCCACGCACACGCCCGCCTCGCCGCAGGCCTGGGCGTAGGCGGCCACCGCCGTGCAGAAACACTCGCAGTCGCCGCCCGAGTCGCAGGCGCACGCGTCGCTCACGCAGGCTTCGTAGTACTTGGTGGGGTCGACCTGCGGGGGGGACAGGCCTCAGATTCCGGGGCCCCAGCCCCGCAGGCTCCTGGGGAACCGCGCCTGCCTCGTGGGGCTTAGGAGCAGCAGGCGCTGGGTCCCGCGTGGCCAGTCCCAGGGGTGGCCCCGCCCCAGCGAGGCGCCTGCACCCCGAGGTCGTCCCTTCCTCCCCAGGGACCCAGGGGAGCGTCCGGCGTACGTGGGCGTGGCAGGCCTGGAACGTGGCGCCGTGGAGCAGGCTGCACTGCTTCTGCGCCCAGGACTTGCGGTAGGGGTTGGCGGTGCAGGGGTCCCTGGGGGCCGGGGCGTCCGGGCAGGACGGGGAGAACTTCCAGCTGTTGCCGAACTCCAGAGCGTCGCCCGCCACGGACTGGCTCCGAGTGGTGAAGTCGTTGAGGGCGTTGTCGTCGAAGTTCCCGCACAGCCCGCAGACCCTCCCCTGTGGACACGGAGACAGGGGGCCCGTGGGGCTGGGGCTGCAGGGAGCAGCCTGGCTGGGGAGGGGTGAGTGCGGGACACCTGTGCTGTGCCCCCGCCTCTCCTGGAGGGGACAGGGGGTGGGTGTCCTTCTGGGATGAGGACAGGAGCACAGAGACACACGTGGCGGCAGGTTACGTGGTCACGGGAGCACAGGTTGGGGTGGTGCAGCCACCAGCCCAGGTGCCGGTGGCCCCAGAAGCTGGACGAGCCTGGAAGGAGCCGCCGGGGAGCCAGCCCTGTGGCACCGGGACTGGACTTCTGGGTCCAGATGGTGTGTCAGGTTGTCCCGGCAGCCACAAGACCCTGGCAGCACGGCACAGCGCCTCCTCCTGGCCTCCTCCCGGCCTCCTCCCGGCAGGCTGCTGGGCTGCCCCCCCCACCGTCTCGGCCTGTCCCTCTGGGTCTTCATCTCTCTCTGCCTCTCCCTGTCTCCGTCCTTCTCCCCAGCCCTGCACCCCACGCTGCCCCCGGAGTCCGGGGCGAGAGTGGAGGTAGGCGGGCGGAGTCTCACCTTGAACTCAGGGCTGAGTCTGAGGAAGATGCTGGTCTTCTTGTCCCACAGCAGCACCAGGCCGGGCTCAGTGTCCACCACCAGGTAGATGCCCACCTGGCGAATGGTGTAGGGCGCCTCCTGGCCCGCTGCCTTCTGGAGCACCTCCACTTTCCCGTCACTCAGCTTCAGCTCGTAGCTCTTCACAAGGAGGGGGGCCCTCAGAGTCTGGGACCCCAGGCGACCTCCCAAGAGGGTCCACCGGCCCCTTGGTGCCACCCTGGCCGAGGCATGGGAACACGGCCTTCCTTGGGGCCTCCCAGGGCGTGCTCCGCTCCCACCTGGCCCCCCACTCACCCCCAGGAAGATCTTGATGGCCTTGGAGCAGGTGGTCCCTGTGGTGCCGCAGGGGACGTTCTCGGTGACCACGCGGAGGGCGTCCTGGGAACTGCCGTTCCCGCCACAGTGGTCCTGTGGGGACAAGGTGGCCCGCTCACCTTCCCGAGAGAAGGCAGGCTGAGGTGGGCGGCGCTGTGGGACCTCTGGGGGCTGGGGGCCGCGGTGACCGCACCTGGACCAGCGTGTACTCGCAGTTCCCACTGAAGCTGTAGCGCTGCCCGTCAAAGGTGAGGTAGTGGCCGTCCCCGTACACAGCACAGGTGGCCATGCAGGGCTCGTCGGTGCACTTCCACATCCTGCTCTGACAGGTGCTGAGAGGGGGGGTGCCGGTCAGGCCAGAGCCGGGAGGGTGGGGCAGGCAGGGCAGGGTACCCTCCGAGGGGCTCCGAGGGGCCTTCCAGGCACTGACTGGGGCACAGTCTCAGGCCCGAGGCCTGGCCAGCTTGGGCGCAGCACCTGCTGCAGGAACTCCCCCCCCAGATGGGGCCCCCCGAGACGCCACGTACCAGGTGTTGCAGCCCACCCGAATGGTCTGGCCCGCCCGGTAGCTGGCCTCATTGTGCACGCAGGGGCAGTCAGCCGCGGCGATGCAGCCGCCTTCGCCGTCAGCCACCAACCCGTCAGGACACACGCAGCCGGGCAGGCACTGGGGGCTGTACTGGGGGTGGACAGACAGACGCCTCAGTGGATGCGGCCCGCACCCAGCCGGTGGCCTCTGGGGGGGGCCCCAGGGACAGTGGGCCCGACAAGCTTTCAGGCGGGGGTCTCCACAGGGGCCCAGGAGGGGTGAGTGGGCGTGGGGTCGCCAGCGGTCAGCGGGGGCGTGGGGGGCGTGGGTCACTCACACAGTCCATGTCCAGGGTGTGGCAGCTCTTCTGGCAGCCGGCCCCGGCGGCCCCGGCCGAGGCGTTGCGGCAGTCCGCGTAGACCATGGGCGGGGCGCAGGCTGCGGAGGAGAGCCATTCAGGGCCGCCCCAGTCCTGCTCTCAGGGACACTGCTGCCCGCTCCCCATGTGTGTTTCACTTCACTCCAGTCTGCTCATGTGTGTGTTTGTGCACCCGTGTGTGTGTTCAGCTTGTGTGTGCCGTGCACGTGCCCACAGCCCCCCCCGACCCCCCTCGCTGAGCCCAGAGGGCGGAGGCTGCCGAAAGAAGACACTGATCTCCACCCTCCCCCACACGAACTTGAGGGGAGTCTACCTTCGAACTGTCACAGGGAAATAACTAAGCCCCCTCCTTCCTTACTTCCCACCACTTCCCGGCTCACCTGGGTCAGGGGTGTGGCCTCCGATGCAAGTCAGTGTTCCCTTGGTGCAGGTGCTGTGGGGTAGTGTGGTCAGAGGGGTCTGCCCCGGCCCTGCCCCTCCCACCCGCCCCTCCTGCCTGCAGGGCTCCTACCAGACAGCCCCTTGCTGGTGCACAGACTCCCCACTGGGGATCACCAAGGCGCCGTGGTAGCAGGGACAGCTGGCGGCTGGCACACACTTGCCAGTGTCGTCCAGGAAGGTGCCCTGGGGGCAGGTGCAGCCGTCCACGGGCACAAAGCTTATGCCACAGGTGGGGTCCTTGTTGCTCAGGGCCCGGCAGGTGGGCTGGCAGGTGCTGATGTGGTCGCGGTAGGTCATCGACTTGGGGCAGTTTTCTGTGGGCTTTGCTGGGGGACATCAGGAAGGGAGTGGCTCTCAGGACAGAGTGGCATCTCCAGGGCCCCTGGCTCCCTGTCTCCAGTGGACCCCCCCTCCTGGGCAGCGTCCGGAGGCTCCCTGGCCTCTATGCAGGGGTCAGGGGCCCACAGAGGCCGCCTGCCCCACACACTCACCGCAGACGCCGGCCCTCCAGCCGCGGAGCACCACGCCGCGGGCGGCGCAGGCGCGGACATAGGAAGACAGGGCGGCGCACAGGCAGTCCTCGCTGTTCTCACAGTTGCAGGTGTCGAACAGGCAGTGCTGTGGGTGGGGGGAGGGAGGGGGAACGGGGCGTCCGGAGTCAGGGGGCGTCCCCCACACGGCCACCCCGGCCTCCTCTGGGACCCTCCCTCCGCAGAACCCGCACAAAGCCACCTGGCGCGTCTAGCCCTGCCCGGCAGCCTCAGACGCCGAAGCACCTGGGCCGCAGCTGAGTCTCAGCCAGAGGCTTGAAGGGACTCGGGCGCACGTGGTGAGGGTCAGACTGAAGGAAGGAGGACGGGGGAAGCACACCAGGAGACCGGCCATGGCCCTGCGGACCACACTGGGCCCTGCTGGACCCTGCAGGCGGCTGTGTGGCCAAGGGGCGGGGCAGTGGGAGGCGTTACCGAGTAGTAGGGGCCGGGGCTGACGGCGGCGTGGCACTGGACAAAGGGGCCTTGCGGGTCCGTCAGCCGTGAGCACCAGTGCTGAGCGTACTTCTCTGTGGACAGAGGGCGGAGGGCGTCGGGGGCAGCCAAGGCCCTTTCACCCCGAACTCCCTGCCTGCTGCTGCGAGCAGGCCCCCGGGCTCCTGCCGGACACCCCCAGACTCCCATTTCTCTTTATCCAGAATTCCACGGCCGAAACAGATACACACCTGCTGGTGAGTTGCAGGTTTGACCCCCCTCAGGACCTGGTGGACGTCTGGAGGCCAGGCCCAGAGCTTCCTGGCCCTGGCGGTGGGCGGGTGGGCCTACGTACCATTCTCCACGCTGAGGGCGCAGGGGTCCTCAAAGCTGTTCCTGACGTTGGGGCAGGCGGCCTGTGTCTTCCAGGTGTTGGCGAAGGCGGCGGCCGTGCCCTCCACCACGCCGCTGAGGGTCCGGAAGTCATCCGCCTGGTTCTGGTTGAAGTTCCCGCAGAGACCTGGGGGCGTGGGGACAGGGAGCGCCCGTGAGACCCAGGAGGCCTGGCCGCCAAAGGCGGGCTCCAGCCCCTTGGGGGGCGCGGCGCCTCTTACCGCAGGTCAGCCCCCGGAGCTCGGGCGCCAGCCTCAGGAAGACCTGCATGGTGGGCACCAGCTGCACGTCCACCTGCAGGCCCAGGTTGGTCTGGGCGATGATGAAGAAGGTCGAGGGTCTGAAGACTGTGATGTTGGCTGCGGACAAGGGGGTCTCAGTGACGTCCTAGGGGCGGGGCGCACGGGCGCGCGGGGCATGGGGCCAGCGCTCTCACCTGCTGAGATGGGCAGCTGTGCGTAGACCTGGTCCACAAACACCTCGCCCCCGGCCTGGACCGTGACGACCTGGGGGCAGTGGGGGCGTCGGCAGCTGGATGGGCAGAGCTGCCGGTGCCCCCGCCTTCCCCAGAGGCTGTGAACCCCGCGCGGAAGGAGGAGCCGAGGACCCGCATCCCTGGGGCGCCGTGTCCGTCCCAAGCCCTCCTCCAAGGGCCAAGGACGGGGAATTTTTCAATCATGTAGAAGCCCATGCGATTCATGAAGCAGAGAAGCTCCCACCCACTTCATGGGCCGGTGGGCACGGAGGCCCTGCAGCCTGAGCGGCTTCTCTGGGACAGTCACGGGGAGACCCACAGAGGTGGACACAGCATGAGTGGAAGGGTCCTGGGGCCACGCCTGGCGCTTGCTGTCCACACCCGGGCCGTGTCACTGGCCGCCAGGCCACCCCCTGCCGCCGGCTCCACACTCACCGTCCGCCCGCCGCCCAGGCTCAGAGTCAGGCTCCTCAGGCAGCTCTCGCTGTCGGTCAGCCCGCACCTGCGCAGCTCGGCCAGCACGGTGAAGGCGCTGCCGTTGCAGGGCTGCAGCAGACAGGGTGGTCAGGCCCCGCCCCCTCTGCCCGCCACCCTGGCAACCCTGCGGAGGGCCAGACTGTGGGCCGGCGGGGGCCGGCTGGGGGTGGACCCACGCGGACGCCGTCTCGGAAGCCGCACCTTGGCCAGCACGTAGCTGCAGTCCCCGTGCACCGTGTAGGGCTTCTCGTCGAACGTGGAGAAGTGGGCGCCTCCCAGCACCGAGCAGGTGCCGGGGCAGGCAACCTCCTGGCAGCTCCACCGGCCTCCAGAGCAGGTGCTGAGAGCAGGGAGAGGCCCTGGGTCCCAGCCCCCCCCCCCGCCTCCTCCACTTGGCTGCCCCCCATCACTGCACCGCGGGAGGCCCGGGCAGCCCCTGGGGGGCCGTCCCAGGGCTCATCTGGGGGACAGCAGGGCCCTACCAGGTGCTGCACTCTGTGGAGTAGCTGGCCCCCGTAGCGTAGGTGGCTCCGTTGTGGACACAGGGACACTGAGATGCGGGAACGCAGCCCTTCTGGCCGATGTCATCAAGCACCATCCCTGCAGAGGTGGGTGGTCTGTGTGGCAGCTGCTGGGTGGGCTGAGTCCACCGTGTGAGCGTGCGGGAGGATCCGGCCTTCTGCCCCTGGCGGCCCTGCCCCGCGGGGGCTCCTCAGACCCCGGGGCCCAGGGACACGTTGGGTGGGGTCAGGGTGGAGGGCGGCAGCGCCGGGGGCAGGGCTCCGACTCACCCTCGGGGCAGAAGCAGCCGGCCACGCAGTGGTCCTCACAGGCCTGGGAGTGCTCCAGGTTGGAGCAGGTGTCGGTGCAGGGTGAGCCGCACTCCCGGTACTGCATGTCCAGGGGGCACGTCTCGGCTGCAGGGAGGAGGGCGGGGCCCATGTCACCTGCTGCCCGGGCCCCGGGGCGCACGGTGGGACAGCGGGGTGGGGTGGGGGCCCTGGGGACACTCACGGCAGAGGCCCGGGCCCCTCCAGTCCAGGGGCAGCCCCCCGGCGTGGGCGCACTGGCGGGAGTACTCGGCGATGGTGTGGCAGGCGCAGCCGGTGAGGTTGGCGGCTTCCCCGCAGAGGCAGAGGTCCTGCTGGCAGGCCTGCACGTAGCTGCTGGCGTCCACCAGGGGGCGGCAGCCCTGGAACTGCTCGCCGAGCAGCACCTCCTGGCACAGGCCCTGGGTGGAGCGGGGCTGGCTGAGTCCCGCCTCTCAAGGCTGCGGGGTCCACCGTCTCCCCCATCCTGACCCCCCACGCCCGGGAGCAGGACCCCCGCCCCACCGCGGCCCGTCCACGCTGGGACTCACCGCGCCGGTGCTGGGACTTACCGAGTCGGTGGAGCAGCCCGTCACAGGCGTGGGGCCGGGGTCGGGGTCCTGGCACTGCTCTGTGGGCCCGTCCATCTTCTGCAGCCTCCCAAACTCGACGGGGCTCAGCCTGACGCCTGCGGGAAGCACGGTGCCGGCTCCCGCGGGTCCCCCGGGCGCCCTCGCCGCCCCCGGAGCCTGAGGTGTCCCGGCTATGCCCTGCTCCCCCTCCCGCACTGCCAGGCTAAGCCACAGCTCCACGGGACGTCCAGGGGTCTGCGGGGAAGGGAGGAGCCTCCGGGCACAGGGCTGAGCTCAGCCCACAGCCCAGAGGGCAGGAGGGTGTCCCGGGGCTCCTGCCGGCCTTCGGGGCCTGGCCTCCCTGGCCAGGGCCACTGGACACTTGGGCGGGCTGGGTCCCCCTCAGACAGGCCCTGCTCGAGGTCTTGTGTCCACGGACAGCGCAGAGCCGGGGCCCTGGACCTCACGCAGGGCCTGTCCTGAGGGGAAAACCCCTGGTGGGTGGGATTCGTGGGCCCAGCAGGGGGAACCTGGGGGTTGTGCACGAAAGACCAAGGCCTGGTGGCCGAGACTGGAAGACAGAGCAGTGACAGGTGTGACTTCCGGTGAGGGTGCGTGTCAGAGTGGCCTGGCCGAGACGGAGGACCTGCACCGCCCTGCAGGGAGCAGGCTGCCTGCCAGGACCCTGCGTGTGTGGGCGAGCGAGTGTGCACGCTGTGTGTGAGTGGGTGTGTCTGGGCAGGTGTGTGCACAGCTGAGTGCAGGCACGTGTGGGGGCCGATGAGTGCAGGTGCAGGTGCCCCCGCGCTGGGGACATCTGACTGGGACCCGCCTCACAGGGCTGTGGGGCCGGGGCGGGAGCGGATGGGGGGCGGCCACACCGGGGCTCACCGCGGGAGAGGAACTCGTTGAAGACCGGGGCACCGTTGAAGTCCCCGCAGAGCCCGCAGGTCTGGTTGGCGTATTTGGGGTCCAGCTCGAGCTGGAACGAGAGGACCCGTCAACGCCTGGCCCGCCAGGGACGCCCAGGACAGAAAGGGCAGGGGAGGCATGGATGCCGGACCTCCCCGAGGGGGCGCCGGGGCTGCCCAGGGGAGACCTGGGCCGTGGAGGTCTCCGCGCTGTCCGTGGACGCAAGACCTGGTCCTGAGGGGGACTCCGTGCGGGACGGGGTCTGACCTTCCCACCCACCCTCGCCCAGGGCCCCCCGCCCGGGGGTGGCTGCCGGGCCGCAGGCCCCTGATGCCCCCAGACCCACCAGGAGGCTGTCGTCCTGGTTCCACATGAAGACCAGGCCCAGCCTGGCCGCCACCTTCAGGGAGCTGACGCCGCGCTCGATGAGGACGCCGGCCCGGCTGAAGGGCAGCTGGGTCCTGCGGAGAGGGGCCGGCTCAGGCACCAGGCATGTGCGAGGGCAGAGCGGCAGCGGGTCCCACAGCCACGGCCGGGACGAGGTCACCATGCCAGGGACAGTGCACGCCAGTGGACGTGACGAGGACGGGCCCTGGAGCTCTGGGAGGGGACCGCTCAGGGGTGGCCAGGAGCCCGGGGGGCCAAGTGCAGGGCCTGGGGTGCACCCTCCCCGGCTCCACTCCCAGGGTGACCCCATGTCCCTCCCACGATCACCTGGAAACGCCCAAGGCCATCCAGGGGCCCAGACTCACAGGCGGCCGTCCACCAGGACAGAGCCCTTGGTCAGCTCGAGGACCATGCCGTTGAGCTTCATGGTGACCTTGCTCAGTGTGGTGGCGTTGGACTCCTGGCCGCGGCGCAGCTGCACGTTGAAGTCCTCGTAGGCGGCCCCGCAGTGCGCGGAGAAGACGTAGTTGCAGCGGCCGGGGAAGCGGAAGATGTCGCCGTCGAAGGTCTTGTAGTGGAAGTCGCCCCAGGTGCTGCAGACCCGCCCGTTGTGGGCCGGGTTCAGGGCTGCGGGGGGAGCACCGGCCATGCTGAGGGCGCCCCCACCCGCACCCCACGTGCCTGAGCCCGGGCGTGCTGCCGCCACGGGGCAGGTGTCTGGGGAGGTCCTGCCAGGACCCGGTGGCACTTTCCAGCACTTGGCCCATGTCCACCCAGACGGCGCCCCCAGGCCTGAGGGAGGAGGACCCTAAACGCGGGGCCCTCAGCCCAGCCTCGGGTTAGGGGGTGGTCTCACTCACCTCGCACCACGGCGGTGGTCTTCAGAGGCGGGAGGATGGTCACCCCGAGGAGCGGGTCGCCTGGGGGAACAGGGGTGTTGAGGCACAGCCCCCTGCTGCCAGGCGGAGCTCCGGCTGAGGGGGGGAGTCTCTGCCCCGAGAGATGTCGCCTCCCGGCCTGTCCGGCACCTGTGCTCGGGCAGCAGCGGCACCGGCCCGGCAGGCAGCTCTCCCCCCAACCTTCCTTTCTGCTCGGCCGTTGCCCGGGCCGCCTGGCCCAGAGGCGTTCGCACGTGGGGGCTCCTTGCACCCAGAATCTCAAGGATGCCGGAATCAGCACCCACGGCTGGAGACAGTCCTGCGGGCGCAGAGGGCTGGCAGGCGAGCTCCTGGGGGAGCTGTGGGGGGAGGCGCCCTCACCCCCTGCCTCTCCCAGAGCCATGAGGACCACCGTGCAGGTGGGCACAGATGCCCAGAGGGGCCGCCTGCCAGCCCCGCCTGCAGCCGAGGGGCCACAGGTGCAGTTCGGTGACCAGGCTCAGCAGGGAGACGTGGGAGCTCAGCCGGCCCCGTCTGCGGCACGATGGGGAGACAGTAAAGGCCTGCGGGTGACCAGCCACGCCGTGTATGTGGGGGTGTCCCGGCCTCGGTGGGGCTGGCTGGGGGGCACCCAAGGTGAGCGGCCCCTCAGGGACCGCCCGCTGGGGCAACTCCGATAGGTGGGGCAGAGTCCCCAAGGGTGCCCAGGGGACGGGAGGGAAGGGGCGCCGCTCCTCTCCCGGCCCCGAGGGTCTGTGTGGGCTCTGCCTCGGGAGGAAGACCAGCAGGGCCTGAGCGGTCAGGCAGCACCTGGAGGGCCGGGGTCTGCCCCCCGAGTGCAGCCGCGGGTGCAGGGCGTGCTGCCCAGGCCTGTGGCTGAGCCACGGCCCTCCTCCAGCAGCCCCTCAGCTGGGCCCACGAGCATCTGGGGGTCCCCGGCCCGACCTGCTTTCCTCAGGGCCGGCCCCTCATTCACAATGAGGGCCCACCACAGGCCAGGCCCCAGGTCCCAGCTGGGAACGAGGGACAAAATGGGCAGCAGCCGCCCAGTGCCACGGCCTCCGAGGGGCCATTTGGTAACAGGCAGGTGTCAGGAGGCAGCCAGGGCTCTGCAGGGACACTCGGAGCAGGTTGGGGGCCTGGGGGCCCAGAGTGGGGAGGGGCTTTCTCTAAATGGGGTGCTAAGGGCCACTGAGCAGGGGCTCAGGCACAGGAGGCCAGGGCAGGGCCAAGGGACAGCTGTGTGGGTCCCAAGAACACTCAGAGAACCCCGAGGCTGACCTCTGGGGCGCAGGAGAGGCACCAGGCCCAGCCCGGGACCCCGAAGGCGAGGGGCTCAGGGAGTGGGGGCCGCGAGCTGTGAGCAGCAGGGAAGGCCGCCCACTGCAGGGAGGGTGGACTGCAGCTGACCCCCTCAGGCCCCCTGCGGCCCGACGCCCCACCCCCACCCCAGGAGTGGGAAAGTGTGGGCGGCTGGAGCCGGGCAGGGCTGCCCCAGGCCCGGGAGCTGCTCTCGGACACTCAGCTTATCTGGGGCCAGACCAGGGCCACCCTGGACTCAGAGGGGCAGGGGCCCCGCGGCCAGCGGGAAGAGCGGGGAGAAGGAGCCTCACCTGCGTGCTGGGCGCAGGCCAGGGCGAGGGCCAGGGCCCAGAGAGCAGCCACCTCCCTGCGGCCGACACCCATGGTGTGGAGGAAGGGGAGAAGCCCGGCGGCCGCCTCTGAGGACGGACCGGAGTCGGCAGGAGGCTTTTGTAGCCCCAGAGCCGTGGCCCTGCGGACCTCACCTGGGTGGGAGGGGCAGGCCCGGCCCCCCTCGTCCAGGTAAACAGTGGGTGCTGGCTTTGGGCTGGCCGGCAGCCGGAGCCTGTGTGCCAGGTGGGGGCGGGCCTCCTGAGGGCTCCCCACATCCTGGTCCCAGGTGTCCTCCTGCTGGACCCCTCCCCCCCCAGATTTTCTCTGTGCACGTGTCCGTACAGCCAGCCCCCATTGTTCCTGGTGCCCAGGGAGGCCACGGGCTCCACACCTCGTGGAGGGCCAACTTCGGCCTCACTGCAGACGGGCCCGGGGGCGGCCCCCAGGGACAGACTCTCCCCGCCGTGCAGCCCCGGCCCAGTGCCGCTTTGGCCCCTGGCCCCACGCGAGTGACAGGCAGCTCAGCCCACATGTGGGCCTGTGGCTGTGAGGGGCTGGAGTGTCTGTGCCCACGTGGTGGGGAGAGGCCCACACATCGTTGCCCAGGTTGGCCCTGACGGGCCCCGGCAGGGAAGGGCGGGTCGCCTGGCCCCCACCCCAGGTGTGAGCGCTGCGTGGGGCTGGAGCCGGCCTCCCCTTCCTGCGCAGACGCACACCCTGCCGAGGAGGTGGACTGCCCACGGGTGGGCCTGACCAGAAGGCCCTGCCTGGGGAGGGGGCAGTCAGGCCGCGGGGGCGGCTGGGCTGGGGGCCGGGATCTGAGAGGCCCGAAAGCTGTTCTGAGAATCTGCTTCCTGCTCTCCGAGGGCCTCTTCCAATGTCCCTGGTCACCTGGTTACCTTATCTGAGCTGTCCCTGCCCCATGGCCTGACTTGGTCATTGTACGTGGGAGACAGAACTGCTCACATGTGCAGGAGAGAATGAATGAGTGAGCAAGTGAATAAGGGAATAAACAAATGAATGAACAAAAATGAATGAACGGCTAATGAGTGAGTGATGAATGAATGAGTGAGTGGATGAGTGAATGAATGAATGAGTGAGTGAATGGGTGAATGAGTGGATGAGTGAATGAATGAGTGAGTGAATGAATGAATGAGTGAGTGAGTGGATGAATGAATGAATGAGTGAGTGAGGGAATGAATGAGTGAGTGCATGAGGAGAATGATGAGTGAGCGGGCAGGAGGAGGGGCACATGCAGGGGCAGGGGCCTGAGCTGGAATCCCTGCCGGGCCTCAGAGCTGGGCCCCAGGTCACCTGGTGCTGAGCAGCACAGAGGTGGGTTGGAAGGGGCAGGCAAGGTGGACAGGTCTGGACGTTGGGGACCGGTGCCTGGGGGAGGCTCAAGGGCCTTCAGGCGGGGCCAGGGCCCAGGCAGCCCGGAGCATGAGTGATGAGGCCCAGTCCTCCTCCTGCCCCAGAAAGTCCAGGAGGTGACGGGTCAGCCACTGTCCACGCTCCCACGCTCCCAGAACAGGGACTGGCCTGTGTCCATGCCACAACCCCTGACCCACCTGAGTCACCAGCCTGGCCCTCAGAGGGGTCACACCCTGCACGTTAGACAGAGCTGACCCCCCGGGCTCGCCCGGCATAGCGCGTTCATGGGACGCCTCCCAGGCCCCTGCCGGCCTCCGGGGCGGCTGTAACCGCGGCTGTAACGGCCCGGCACCGGGTGCGCTGGCTTTGGAGCTGCAGCCGCACCGGACTTCCTCCCAAGGCTCCATTTGAACCACCTGACACAGGCCACCGGGCCACCCGCCAACCCCCTGAAAACCCGACCCAGACCGGACCCCACGGAGGCCCAGGCCTGGTGCTCACATTGAGGGTTCCCAGCTCTGGGGGGCCCACGGGAGGGGCCCAGAGTCAGGGCTGGTGTGAGGCCAGTGTCTGGGGTCAGAAAACAGGGTCCTTCCCGTGACCTCCCAAGCCCAGTGGGGGCTGTGGCAGGTGGGGGACAAGGGGTCCCTTAAAGTGGCCTGGCCGTGACCCTGCCCCCACCCACGGGGGCTTCGCGCTCAGGGAAGGGCGTTGTGTGTGGGGGGGGGGGGAGGCTGGGGCAAGCCACCACCTCTCTGAGCCTCAGTTTCCTCATCTGGAAGGGAGGTCACCCTGGCAGGGGACTCAGTCGGGGGCTGTGTGCAGGGAGCACATGTGGGCACACCGGCCCAAGAAGACCTTTGTCCCTGGGTGGCTGCCAGACCCCTCCCGGATCTGACCAGCTTGTGGGTTGCTGGAGTCCGTGGGGAGAGGGAGGGCTGGGGTCCCACCCTCCGGGAGCGCCCAGGCGTTGCCGTGGAGACGGGAGGACAGAGGGATGTGGGGACAGGGCGGAGGCCTTGGCGGCATCCCAGGGTGTCACTCTTGCTGTCACATTCTCACTGACTCACTCTGGTGCTGTGCCTCGGGATGGGACACGGCCCCAGGCGCCCCATCTGGACGGACGCCAGCCCTGTGAGGACGAGGTGCCCCCCAGCCCACCTCTGCGCCTGAGCAGGGGACACGGACCCTGTGGTGGGGGCGCAGCCTGGGCCCCGGGGCTCCCCTGGGCCTCCCATGCTGCTGTCCCTCCAGGGCCCCCTCTCAGGGACAGGGCGAGATGTGGCCTGGACCCTGGGACCCTGAGGGCAGCAGGGTCCTCGGAGCTCTCTCCTCAGGTTCCGGAGGGGACAGAAGCGGCCCCCAACCCCTCAGGGATTCCCCTGCGCAGGCAGAGCCACGGGGCCGCCACCCACCAGCCCTGGGTGCCCCACCCCGGCCCTCCTGCTGCCCTGACAGCCGCCAGGAAAGGGGGCAGCGAGGCCCCAGCTCAGCCAGCCCTGGCCTGGCTGGCCTGACCCCGACCCCGGCCCCAGCCTGATTCAGGCCTGTTGCCGGCCGAGGTGCCCAGTTCCCCCCCACTGGTGCCCACTTCTGTTCTGGTCTCTGGACACAGCAGTGGCCCTGACACAGGGCTATTTGTGTCACTGGGCAGCCTCTCATGGTCCAACCGGTTCAGACCTTAAAGCCCCAAAGCCCTGCGTGGTAGCAACAGGTCACCCCCGCTGCCTGGGGGACACAGGTGGGAGATGCCCGGCCAGGGGCAGGGGCGGCGGGGGCGGCATCTCCACCCCCGGCAATTGCCTGTGGCCACTTGGAGGTTTGGGGAGGGGTCCTCGCTTCTCCCCGTGTGAGGGGAAAGGGGTGTGGACAGCGGGGGCCCCGGCCCTCACACCAGCAGGAGGAGGTGGGCTCCGTGCGGGCGGGGACAGATTCGGGAAGCCTGGCCTCTGTTGACACAGGGCTGCCACTGTCTCTGAGCCAGAGCGTCCCCACGGGGGAGCCACCTGGGTCCCTTCCGCTTTGCTCTGGGCTGAGGGAGAGCCGTCCCGTTGCCCACGGGTGGGGCCGGCTTCTGTCCCGGTGCTGCCGCGGGCTGGGGTGCTCCCCAAGTTGCCGGGAAGGGGAGTGGGGCACCTGCGGGGCCTCCGTGAGTGTGTTTGCCCATCTGAGTCACTGGGCAAACAGGGTCCTCCCAGGCTCAGCTGGGTTTCCCAGGCCCCGGCCCAGGCCCCGAGGCTCGCCCCCCACCCCCTGTGCCGCCCCCTGCCACAGCGAGGCCCTGCCTGATTCCTCTCGGGCTCCGCTGGCCTCTGCCCAGGCCTGGGAGGGCCGCTGGGCTGCGTCCCTTCCCCTGCCTGGGCTCACAGGCTGCTCGGCCCCTCCCCCAGGCCCCTTCCGCTGTGACACCCCCATCTCTCAGGCCCCTGAGGAGGCCACAGCTCCCCCCACAGGTGCTCCTAACCTGCTGTTAATTTTGGAGCTGGGGGGCTGTTCACAGACTAGACCCCTCTCCCAAGACGAGGCCAGTGCCCTCTCACCCCTGACCCTCTGACCCCAGGCTCTGCGACGGGGGCCACTGTCTGCAGGATTGTTCCCTAACACTGAGCACACGTGTGTCCTTCCAGCCTGCCCCGCGGTCAGGGCACCGAGGGGTCAGGGAGTGGCTCTCAGGCCACCCAGAGTCCCTCCGCTCCCACCCTGCAGCCCGGTCACCTGGGGGCCTGCCAGGCGCTCGCCTGTATCGGGACAGAGAGCGGCCGCCGTCGCCCTCCAGCCTCGGGAGAGAGGAGGTCAAGGCAGCGCCTGCTCCGTGTCCCAACGTCCCTCCTGTCCCTCAGGCAGCGTGGACCTTGGAGGGGACACCACCGGTGCCCTCACCCCAGCACCGGAGGCACATCAGTGGGGGGGGGGGGCTGCCTCACCTGTCAGCTTGTTTAAAAGGTATTTTCTCAGCATAAAACCATACTCTAAACGTTCGCTCTGGGCACATCTCCGAAAGGACCAGAAGCCGGGGTTCGATGAGGCGTGTGCGCACCCAGGTCCCCGGCAGAGACTCAGGGGGTGAGACGCAGCGGCAGCAGCCAGTGCCCACGGACGGAGGCCGGACACGCGGAACGTGGTCCGTCCACATGGTGTCACTCGGCTGAAAGGGGAAGGACGTTCTGAGCCCCGCTGCTGAGTGGATGGGCCAGACACAGACAGACAGACAGACACCGTGTGACCCGCTCGCAGGAGGTCCCTGGAGGAGTCAGAGCCACAGAGACGGGGTGTAGGACCGTGGCAGCCGGGGCTGCGGGGGGTGAGTGTTCGGTGGGGCCAGAGCGTCAGTTTGGGAAGACAGAAAGTTCTGGCGATGGTCGTGGTGCCGGTGGTGCAGCCATGTGAACGAGCTCTAACCCCGCTGAGTGGGGCGCCTAAGATGGTTACGGTAGGAAATTCAGTTACTTGCATTTTTACCACAATCGCTTTTCAGTGGAAAAACTAAAGCGGGGTCCCCGCGTAGTCTCCTGAGGTCCCCTCTCTGTGTCCTTCCCATGGCCCTGCCCGGCGGCCTCGCTCCGTCCAGGTGTCCTGGTTGGGCCAAAATGCAAGTGGGACGTTCACGTGGCTAAGGGGGCCCTGAGCCACGGGCAGTGGCTTCCTGAAGGACCCGGGGGCTCTGTCTTCCTGGGGGGCAGGGCCCCCCCGGTCTAAGAGCC